TATTAGCAAAAGTTAAGCTCAAAAGGTTAATGGCAAGAATTGTATTTATGGAATAGATGATAATGATGTTTAAGAAAAAAAAAATTGCAATAATCTTTTTAACATCAGTCCATCCATGTACGTTCTTTGCAACCTGAAAAGTTTTTGCAGAAATGCACAAAACTATGGGAAGGCTAAATGTTAATCACATAAAGGAAATTTCTGCATTTATAAAGAAGACAGGCGGGAGAGAGAATGACACAGAGTACCAGTTTAGTTTATACTTCATGGACACTATCACAAATGAATTAGAAGTATGAATGTATTTCAAGTATTTACAAGGATTAAATGTATAAATGTGGTTTACATTAGGATGGCATGCAAAAAAATTAAATCCAGAATAAGTTGTTTCAATATTGTAATATATTGGGGGCAAAAATATTGTAAAACATCCAAATTTTATGAGTCAAACAGCAAATCGTTTGATACTAACTTTTGTCTTTTCTTTTTTGCATTCGTTGACCTAATACCGATTAACGCGAACGGATTCGGGACAATTTATATTATTATATAAAAATTCATAAATTAAATTTTGTGTTTAGTGCCTTGGTATGCGTAAGTATACTGTTATATATGGTATTATAAATATTCTTAAACCATGAATTTGCATTACTAATACATACATATTTAGCATATACACATGTATGTACTGCGATTGTAAATTTAAATAGCCTAACTATAGTTTACACCATTAGCACTCACATGTCTAAACATGCACCTACAGTTAACTGTAAAAATAGATAAACAAACATTACAAATGAAATAATTTAAATGGACACTTTTCCTCAAAAAAATGTTTCATCAATAATAACTGTTTAACTGTAAATGATTGCTAAAGTATTTAATAGTAAGTACAATTTTGTTTTTAACTGTATTTTAGTTTGTTTACAAATATTTATGTAAATTTAGCACACTACTAAAGCTACGTTCAGACCTGTAAAATATTTGGTCCAAATATTTGTTATAAAATATTTATAAAGTTGCGTCAAACAAACGCAATATTTATTTCATGTTCAGACTTGAACAAATATTTGATGGTATTGTTTTATCAAACAGTGCAAAAATAATTTGGTTCAAACACACACATGTTTTGCAGCCACAGTATATCGTATATTTTCATGCAAGAAAAAAACAATTTGGCAATTTGTTTTAATTTTAACTATTTTTATTAGGTTTAAAATTAAATTTTTATAATAAAAGTGTATAATATTAATATATAACACTATTGAAAAAACTTTGTTTGTCGAATCTGAACATAAAATATTTCATGTTAACAAACAGCAATGCGGATGATTTTCATAAAACAAATTGATTTGCTGGCAAATAAATATTTTCTCATTGTTTCATCAATGTGAACACCAAAAGTCAAATAATTTACGTCATTTTGGTAAAATAATTATTTGATCTTGCAAACCAAATGTAAGATCAAACAACGTCAATGACAGCTGTTCTTTGTTTATTTTCTGAAAATGAGTGTTATCACCTCATACAAAAATGTAAATAGTCGCTTATATGACTGGTTTTATTTTATTTTTTATAAAATATAAATCTGAGACAAAGTTGTGACATTTAATTGAAATTCAAGCAATTGCGTAAATTAATGATAATTATTATTTTTGTTGTTTGTTTTGTTATTTATTGGTTGGTAACAACATACTATATATAGTTATGTTACATAATATATGCATCTATAGTCTAGTTTGCAGTCTAGTCCAACGGTTCCCAAATTACAATTAAATAAGAGATACTGTTATCTCGGAGTATGAAGTTAGGCCACATTTCATAATTCAAGGACAAGCTTATCACAGATTTAAGTTTGTCAAATTGTAAACAAAAGTGTTCTTGTTTGGAAGGACTAAAATAATATATTTCCGAAACAGAGGTGACTCTTTATTCGTTTTCAATACGTTAATCCAGGTAATTTTATATATAAATATTCCATTCCGACGTGATACACAGATTTTAACTTGATTTTGTTGACCAATATTATTAAATTAACATCAGAAAATGCGTAAATAGTCAAAACCATGCAGTAAAATTCACAGTACTTTCGCAAAGAGTTCAAGTCATATATTATGCGGATAACGCATTCCGCAACAATATCGAAGAAGTTCAACTTTCTTATATTATTTTCCCGAAAAATTAGCTAACATACTTAGTTCACCCGTCTGCAATCGCAAAAAATTTTTGCAATATGACTCTTTAAGCACATGTCGACGATATTTGATGAAGAAACCTTTTCGTTACTTTAAAGAAAAATGAACGTGAAAGATCTCACGATCATAAAATTAAACATCATGTTAACATTTCAACAATGAAGTCATTCTATCTTTAAAAACAGGCAATTGAAACTTCTCTGAAATATTAATTATTCTCAATGTACGGGAATATTTTATTACTCAATTTATTTAAACAATTATTTATTATATTAATGGATATAAAAATATATTAATAATAAACAATTCTCTATAATTTTAAATTTTATAGATATGTAATTTAATGAAAATTATTTATAATTTGGTTATTTCCGGGCTTATAGCGATTTTTTTGAAATCGCTATAAACCGTTCCAAACAACCAAGGTTTTTCGCTACATTGACTATACTAAATAGCAACAACATGACAGTAAAGATCCATTATCTATCTCTTTTCCACTTGCACAAGGTATTGAAGTGTAACTTCAATACCTTGTGCAAGTCTATCTATGTCTTTTCCACTTGCACAAGGTATTGAAATGTAATTTCAATACCTTGTGCAAGCTTTTTAGTAAATATAAACACATACATATATTTTTGGCTTTTGGTTTGGTTGCGCATTAGCTGTTCTTGTTGTTATGTTCCTCTTTGCCTGCAAACAAAATCTTGTTTTTTTACTGTTTTATCCGTCAATTGTTTTACGAAATTATTTGTTGTAATGTGAACACCGGGCAAACAAACTTTTACTATTTGTATTGAATTGTGTTTGGCTTTGTTTCTTCAAACAAAACGTCAAAATAGAAATACTCATTTTAAGCACATTATGAAATAAAAATGTATTTAATTTTTTGTTTTTAGGCAGAAATTTCTATGAAATCGTAAAAAATATTATTAAATAGTTTTTTTAACGTTTAACAAAAATGTTTCATGTTTGGTGTTCACATTGTGTTCACATTAAGAAAATATTTGTAGGTTGACATATAAAAATGTTTCAAGAAAAACAGCTGATATTTTGTTTGCTCTTCAAAAATATTTTGTGTTCACGTTACAGCCAACAAATATTTGATAAAAAACGTCAAATATTTGATAGGTGTGAACGTACCTTAAGATAAATTTGTATATGCAGGTAAATTAATATTTATTTATATGACCACATCTGTAGATGTGTATAAATCCACCCTAGGGAAATTTTCTATACAAAATAGTTTCAACTCTTCTATGATTTAAGCTCATTATATTAAGGTGGCCCCAAAATGGATTTTCGGCTGATGTTCCCTCCGGAAAGGAAATTTAAATTCATTCACAAATACCATTTCTTAAAACTATTATTTTGACGTCAATATTTGTAGAACTCAATTAAAGGATAAAAAGGTCCTTTTTTAAGCTTTTGTATGTATAAGCAAATTTTAATTTTTCGACAATGTTTTTAACTTTTTTCATTTCCGTATATATGTATGTATTTCCGTAATCGGTGCCGAAAACAAAATTTCATACATTTAAATCAAAAAATGAAGTATTTTTCGTCGCAAATGTATGAAATTTCGTTATCGGTGCCGATTACGGTGTAAATTTTGAATGTTAAGATTCAAATAAAATTTGATCTAGATTGGGTTTTGAAAAAAGAATAAAACTTTATCCATAAAATTTTATGAAATAATAAACATAATTTTAGTACATTTTTAAGTAACCTTTTTTCGAGAAAATATTTCTGATAGCCATTGCAAACGCCTCACAAAGATTTCAGATGATTCAAAACATTCCTTACAATGAACCAAACATTTTCGGTGGGAACATCAGAACAGAACACCATACTTCTCCATGCAATCGGGACCACCCCAATACACATACATGATTATACTACTCATGTGTTTCTTTTTGGTTTGAAGCATAGAATTGCCACTTTTTAATTTAATTTAAAAATTCACTTGCTTGTGCCTCTGCTCGTTAGTTTTTCAGTCAAATTGTATGGTTGATTCGTGGGTGGTTCCGTTGCATGGTGTTTTTTGGAGCACAGTTTTGTTTGGTGTCTGAATATCCATAAAATACTACATAAATGTTTACTTTACACGGCAAATTAAATTTATTATTTTATATACGAAAATGTCATTTAAATTTTGGCCTTTATGCCCACATACTAATTTAAGGATGAACGAATTATGAAAAATATTATGACGCAGTTAAAAATAATAATAAAAAATTATATTTTTATTCATACACATTTTAAATGCTGGCACAGCATAAAGGTTTACATATTTATATGCATACATTCCAACCTTTTAGGTTAATTTAAATACATTGAGAAAGAATATTTGCAATAAACCTTAGAAATGGCACGGAATGAATTTTATAATAAAAACCATTTAGTTTCAGAATATGTACTTTCAAGTTTCGGTTATTATAAATTTTTATTTGGTCTCTAAGTGATTTAATTTTCTAATATAAAATTACCAATAACATAACATATATATCTATGTCTATTAAATTAAAGAATAAAAGTTATATTCTTGTCTAGATTTGTTTGGTTTACTCCTTTGACGTCAAACTAAAAATTACGCTAAAGGGACAACCTTGGGGATATGTTGAAATTTATTTGAAAATCCTTAACATAATCACTCGTACATTCACATCCATCCATCCATCGACTCATATCATTGACATCTTCATCATTTTCAAATAATGTCAGTGCAGACATTGAATTAATAATATTGCTTTACTGTTGTTTATAATGGAATATTTTTATGTGTTTTTGTTATTTTTATCTTTGCAGATTTCATCATCTTGAAAAGCCACTAATAAAATAAAATTAAACGTAGAATTGGGAATTAATCTAATACATTTAACGAAGCAAACCACCCACCAACAGCATCACAAGGAGAAACTCAAGAAAAATGATTTCGATAAAAGTTCATTGTAACATAATATTTGGTTTTATGGTCATATGCGACAACATTGGCTGCCATTGGGGCTGCTAATGCTGCTGCAGATGTGTTATTGTTACTTCCAATCGAAATAAAAAAATAAAACAATAAGCCACGTTAACAACAGCAACAACAACGACGATTTCCAGCTAAAAGATAAATGCTAAATGATAATGAATAATGCAATCGGCCACATTGGAAACGTTACATCATCCAGCTTTATCAATACCAATAGATCTGTGCCATATTGGGAATATGCCGCCTTGCTACAACCACTGGCCGCGAACATACCGAGAGCACATAATATGGCTGCGCAACAGGCACACAAAGAACAACATCCGCCAGAGCTGTTGCTGCAGCAATCAAACTCACCCGCCTTCTCAAGAAACGACAATCACAGCCATGCATCAGCGTCGTCTGCGGCAGAGACCACTCAAACGCCTGCGTCGCAATTCTATTCGAGTTTCAATATCTCAGATGATCTCTTTTACTACTTCAATGGGTTCCTGGAGCGTGGAAACGCACCGGAAGTCTCCACCTCACCAACACCTGTTGAAACTATCACCACACCCGCGGAAACCTTCAACGTCACGAGCATACCTCAAGAGCCGGACTTTAGCGAGTTCCTCAGTGCATTGCCCAATGATCGTGTCAGCCTGCTCTCCTTCCTATTTCTCTTTTCCTTTGCCACTGTGTTCGGTAACTCGCTGGTCATCTTGGCCGTCATAAGGGAGCGTTATCTCCACACAGCCACAAATTATTTTATTACGAGTCTGGCGGTGGCTGATTGTCTGGTTGGCTTGGTTGTGATGCCTTTTTCTGCCCTTTACGAGGTGCTGGAGAATACTTGGTTCTTTGGGACGGATTGGTGTGATATTTGGCGCTCGTTGGATGTTCTCTTCAGTACGGCTTCCATACTCAATCTCTGTGTAATATCGCTGGATCGATATTGGGCCATAACAGATCCCTTCTCATATCCCATGCGCATGACCGTGAAAAGAGCTGCCGCTCTTATTTGCGCGGTATGGGTGTGTTCGAGTGCCATCAGTTTCCCTGCGATAGTGTGGTGGCGTGCAGCCCGTGATGGCGAGATGCCTGCCTACAAGTGTACCTTTACGGAGCACTTGGGATATCTGGTGTTCTCCTCCACAATATCCTTTTACCTGCCGTTACTCGTGATGGTATTTACGTATTGTCGTATCTATAGGGCGGCCGTAATACAAACTCGTTCACTGAAGATCGGTACGAAACAGGTACTCATGGCCTCCGGTGAACTACAGTTAACGTTACGTATCCATCGTGGAGGTACCACACGAGAACCCTCGACCAGCTCTCACCATCAGGCGCTGCACGGTTCGCTGGGTGGGGCGCCGAGTGGCGGATCTCAACATCATCCCCACTCACATCACCATCACCGCACTTCGCATCATAATCATAGTGCCGCGGGGACTACCACCTCAACGCCGGAGGAACCGGACGATGAACCTCTATCGGCATTACAGAACAACGGTTTGGCTCGGCATCGTCACATGGGCGGCAAGAACTTCTCTTGGTCTCGCAAACTGGCAAAATTTGCCAAAGAAAAGAAAGCTGCCAAAACGTTGGGCATTGTCATGGGTGTGTTTATTGTTTGTTGGCTGCCATTTTTCGTTGTAAATTTGTTGTCGGGCTTTTGTATGGAGTGCATAGAACACGAAGAAATTGTTTCAGCGGTTGTCACTTGGTTAGGCTGGATTAATTCCGGTATGAATCCTGTAATTTATGCATGCTGGAGCAGAGATTTTCGAAGGTAAGTAAATGTGAAATTTTTATTACACTTGACAATTTTCCAAATTTTTGTGTTTCGCCGCTAATTTCATTTAAATATTCGTTGCTGCTTTATAAGCATAATTGCTCTTTATATAAAGAATATCCATTATCATTACGTTTCTTAGCTGCTTTCAGTTTTCCTTTCTATCGATTTTTATTGCTCTTTTTCACTGTCGTTTACTATGAAGTTTGTGTAAATATTTAAAAGATTGTTGTATCGTTTTTTGTCAGCTTTGTTTTTTTTTTCTGCTTTAAGACTTTAAGGCAAAATACTCTAGGCACAATTTAGATTATCACTAAAAAGAAAAAAAGTACTTTGTGGTTTCTTGGTGTGAAACCACAAAGAAAGTTTTTTTTTCTTTCTACAGTATAGGAAGGTATGCCTAAGCTCAATGTGGAATTGTAATTCAAATTAATTAGTATATAGAATGATATTGGTCGAATTATAAGAATAAGTTTGATTTACATTCAAAATTTCATATTGTTAGGATAGTTATAAATTAAAGAGAGAAGAGCGTTTTATAAATGAGACAATGTCAATTGTTGATATTTGGAATACCATCCCTATTCATACACGTGTTTCAAACTGAAAAACATGAGGAAAGTGTTGAAGTTTAATACGACTATATTTTGAAACGTTGTTATTTTATATTTTTCTAAGGACGCAAAACATTATAGTATGTACTTAGTAGTATTAGTAGTAGTGAAATTTGTTGCTTATAGAGTCGAGTATTTAATATTCTTTGCTAAATTTGTATCCGTATTTGTTATGCTTTGTTTCATACTTATACCGAGTACAAACATATACATACATATGTATATCCATAATCACTGCTATGAAAACTTTGTGGTTGTTTTTTTAGTTTCTTTTGAAATTTTATTTCAGTGTCTTGTTGTCCTTGTTTGGGGTTTTCGTTACAGTTTTCTTTTTTTTTGGCTACCATTTGCATAATATTCTAATGCGTCTAATGGCATACTTTAGGGACTCTTTATTAATGTTGCGGCAACAACGTATAACAGTTAATTCTATAAAAATTACAAGCCCCAACAATTCTCTTGTTGTTGTTCTTATTTTTATGGTTTTATTTGTTTTGCTTTAATTTCGTTGGAGTTAGAGTTAAAGTTGGTTATGGAGAACGAACACCTTCCCAATACTTACAATAGTAGACGTTTGTTTTCTTACTTGTGTTACGAGTAGTAAGTAGTTTTAGTGATTGTGTGTATAATTTGTACATTTGAATAAATTTACTTTTGGTGTTTTTTTCAAGAGCTAATTTTATTATTATGAGTATGGTATTTAAGTAGACACAGATTTATACATTTTATGTTATGCAAATAGTTTCAACTACAAACTTTAAAAGTAGGTTAAATTGAATGAATGACTTTATATAAGGTATCGTTATGCTATGAGTTTATTTTTGGTATTTTGTTTCTGCAAGATTTATTAGAAGTTAGAGAGTTTGGCTCGTTTGGTTAAACAGTTTATTAAACTTTGCTTGCTTTTAGCAATTTAAGGATTCTGTTGGTAAATTTTTAAATTTATAATGTTAGATCGAATTATGAGCATAACAATAAAAATCTGGTTAATGCAAGAAGGATTTAATTTTTACTCTGTCTGTCAGTTAAGAACGAGCTTTTACGAGTTAAAAAAAATATTTTAAGTGCGTCTCTAAATTAGGCGTATACTTAATATTTGTATTATCAATAAATCATTAACACGTATACGTATAGGTTCACAATGTAAAACTTTCCACTTGATACATATTAAAAAAATGAAGATGAAGTTTTATGGATTTTATATGTTCACCCTTTTTATTCTTCTTTGCATGATATGAGCCCGAAAAATGACATCGAGGCCCCAAATCTTTGGTGTCCCATAAAAAAGTGCATGATTTTGTACAAAACTGGGATTTTGTACGAAACTATGGTCTTTTATCACGTAGTGGTGTTCGAATATACATAGTTATATTTCCATGACTTTTCCATGACACACAGTGTAACAATCATCATGACTCGAGTTCAGTGTCCAATGTTCTACGTGCTTAAAATATTTTAAAACCAGATCCCGATTCAAGAGCACTTTATGATAGCTCATGCTATAAAATTCTAAGGAGCAAAAAAAATATTTTTTTGCAGACCAGTGTTATTTATAAAGTTGTTAGTATATAACACCACAATTAGAATATTATATCAATGAAACAGATATTATTCATACAGTAGTTCGTATGTAGTAGTAAAATACAACCTCAACTTCTCGACAGTTAGAAAAGAAAAATGTTATTTTCCGATAGAATTTGGTTGGCTACATTTCTTTTATAATATTTAAAGTAAGATCAAGAAAATATTTAAGATTAAATTGTGTGATTTTACTTTTTAACACAAATTTCTTATTTCGCATTTATACCTTTATAATATTTTATGAGATTTTTTAATACAAAAATTGTTTTTTTTTTTATTATCTTTAGCTGATATCTTGTTCATACTTATACTCATGCTTTCTTACTTACTTACATACGAATAAATTTACATTAACACTCAATATACATTTTTTATTATATTCTCTGTTAAAATATTAAGAGTATTACAAAAATGTTTTTTTATCCTGTTTGGGGGGGTTTATTTGTTTTTATAATTGCAGAGCCTTTGTGCGTATATTGTGTGTATGTTGTCCACGTAAAATTCGGCGAAAATATCAACCAACGATGCGTTCAAAATCTCAGGTGAGTTTCTTTTTGATTTTCCTTTATGTTTTATCCATAAAAATGTATACTTTGTGTTGATTCTTTCGCCTGTGTCCCTCCCTGAAGCCATTTGTGTGTAATGTTTTAAAATTTTCGCTTTTTGAAGAAATGGCCAGGGGAGTGATATGCGGGAGTATAAGAAGACGAGTTGTTTTTGTATATAATTTTGTGTTTATTATGTAAAGCCTTAACAACTTTATTTTCATAATTTACGTAAATTTTAAATAATTTCTAATGTAAATAAACCAATTCTCCTCTGTTTTATTTTGTTGTTCTGTTCTTTTTACTTAATTTTTTGGCCAAATTTTTAAATTTGTTTGTTTTGTCTTGTTTGGTACAAATGTAAATTTATTTTATTTAATTAAGTGCCTTTGGTTTTCCTTAATCTAGTATTTTATTATTTTTTCACAAAAATCCTTTTTCTCGAGCAGAGGTTAAATTGAATTTTCTGGTATACTAAATAAAATAGCAAATACATAGTAAAATTAATTAATAATTCTTAAGAAAAAAAAACCTTAAAATTTCAATTCATTTTGTAAGTGTTTTCCTGTAGTTGTTTTTCTCCTGTCAAAACAAACTTCCAAAAGTTTCAGCAACCAAATTAAAGGAATACAAGACAAACTTACCTTCATCAAATAAATATTTCTTAATGAATTTGTTACAAATTTTTAAGAAAAATCTTATTTAAATTAAAAATTTTCCTACTCTATTGTTGGCAGTGGTGATATTTTTCTATCATCTATACTTCTTACACTGCACAGTGGTTTTGAGCTTAAAATTTAAACTGAGCATTGCTTGGTATACAAATTTTAAATAGCAATTAAAAGTTTTCAAAAGGTTTGTGAAATCGAGAGTTGTATTGAAGCATTGTTAAACTAATTTTGTTTTAATAAATTGAAAATAAAGTACTGGTTTCAACAAAATTTTATGGAACTCAATGGCATTAAGAACAATGGGATTAAGAAAACAATTCTAGTGTTGCTGAGAATTGTGGGAGTAGTTACAAGTATTTATTGATGGAAATAATTTATAATTTAGTTTAGAAATTATTTAATTAATTTTGCAAAAGATTTAACTTGTAAATGTTATATATTTACAGAAAACTTATCTCTTTAATTCAATTTTGCAATTTTATTGTAATAAATTATTCAAATTGTCATCCATTTCTTAACGTCTGTTTAAAATTTTCTAACCTTTCTATGATCTCACCAAGAATTTACTATAATCCTTTTTGTTTCTGCAAAACCCAATATGTCCTCTATTTTTCTCCGCACCTGAATCTCTAAAAGACTGATTGTAATGTAAAAGTGTGTGTGAATTTGTATTTTTATGTCCTTTTACTTGTTGTTATAATAATTGTTTGAACAATTTTTTGATCCTTAAATTGTGTGTGGTACTTTGCAGAGATTCGCTACAAGACGATGTTACTCAACATGTTCTCTGCATGGGATCCAACATGTGCGACACAATTCATGCGAACAAACGTACATTTAGTAATAATGAAAGAAAAATTATTTCATCGTCACGACACGAAACATCTGCCGCCAGTGCATCAACGTATACCATCCTCAGTAACATATCAGAACGGCCAACAACTACTATAACAAAAATTTGGCAATTAAAACAAAAAAGTATATATTCTATAAGAAATACTATAAGATGATGTATTCGTTTAATAATACATTGAACCTTTCTACTCGTACTCTAGTGGCCTTTTACTACACTCCTCACCAGTTTGTACTTCAGAAAAAACTGCTCCACCATCACCAGTGCCTCCATGCACATGGAAAACAATTTGTGCAATTTTTTCATTAAACATATTAAAATGAAATTTTCCATGAAAAATGCCAACATTTATAAATTCTTTTGCACACACAACTAACGGAGGCGGAAATAAAATAAAGTGAGCAGCTAGTGAATGAGAGAACGAATGTGTATGTATGTGTGCGATTTATGAGGCAACTTCTTGGTTCGACATTATGCAACGTTGGAAACGGGGAAAAATTGCGAAAAAAAAAGAAAACAAAAATGAGAAGATTATAAAGTTTTTGTTGCTACTGATTTTGATTTGGTTTGAACTGTTGTTTATTCCGTTGTTACTGTTGTTTTATTTTGTTTGTCATCCTACACGTTTTCACAATGTCTACGTCTTCTCTTAACTATTGGTGTGTGTGTATGGTGTGTTATTGGGCAAATGACAAAGATTTCCTTAATAACTCTTCATATTGTTCATCAACATCATTGTCGACGTAATTGTCATCATCAACATCATCATCAGCAGCACAGAAATCAGCAGCATCATCATTATTGTCTTGTTTGTTCAAGTTTGTTGAACAAATAAAGACAATGACTTCCGTCAAAAAAAAAAAAAAAGTCAAACATATCAAAAAAAGGACCTTACATACACATGCACTTAAAGAGAACTTTCTACGTTATATTGAATTGTATTTGTTCTTGCGAAGGAAATTAGTGTGAGTAGTGTGTAAGAGTCCTTATTTCAACAACAACAGCGTCGTCTTTTACTTTGGTGTTAATGTTTATCTACTGTTTTCACAACAACTGTTCTCCTCTCTATTTCGTAAGGTACGTAAAGTTCTTTTCTCGGTAAAAATGCACTCAATACTTTTATGTTTAAATGTTGTCGTTTACGACTTGGTTTTGTCAAGAATCAAGGAATTTCACTCCTAAGAAAAACACTTATTTGTCGTTATTGTTGGTATTATAATTGTATATTTTCTGTTTGTTGTTTGTCTCGTTATTTTTTAAATGCAAAAGTAGTTTTCACTTACCAACCCATCACCAACCACCAAAAACAACAAAAGTTTGTCTAATAGCAACAATTCTTGGCACTTTTAAATTCCTGTTCTCTTATTAGTTTATATGTATTTGTCATTTCACTGTTTCCTTTAAGACTGTATTCACCTCCCGTAGTTGATGTTTTTTCCACTTCCACTTTACAAAGAGAAAATAAAGTCGAAAAACTGTTGAAGTGTCTTTGGAAAAAAAGTTTGTTATTAAATGTCAAATTCTTTTTCCTTTTTGCAAAATTTCCACTTTGTTGTGTTTCACTTTAATAGAACATATATTGTGTATATTATGTACATATGTAGTGGTACCTACTTACACAACTAAATTAATTTTACTTTTTTAGTTGTGCAACTTAAAACTTTTACTGCGCTCCTGTTTAAGGATAAACCTGCATATGTGTGTCTGTTTGTTTTTATATAAGTCCCTGTATATATAGATGTATGTGTGTGTTTTATATTTTATGGCATTTTTATTGTCTTTTGTAAATATTAAAATAAATGACCCAGTTTCTTTTTTTGTTATTATATTTTTATGAATACGAATAGTAAAAAGTAAAATTTTTTATTATTTAATTTTCTTTTTATAATTTTTGTTGTTTTTAAATTTTTTATGAGCACTTAGTTTTTTAGAATTTGTTTTATATTAGTATAATACACGAGCATCACGACTAATAATAATATCCATACAAACATACATATGTATGTATGTATAAGAGATATTCAAATAAAATACAAAATTCTACTATTAATTTAATATTTTTCCGAGAAATTGTCAAGCTTTAGTCCTATTATTATTATTTAAAGCTAATGCCGCCCAGATAGGAAATATGTATTAAATTTTATATTACTTTGAAAAATAACAAATTTATTGAGGTTTATAATGGATTTGTTTTATTAATAACTAACTTATCTAGTTCGACTAACTAACTGACTGACTGACTAAGTCAGTCAGTTAGTTAAAACTCCATTCACTTTTTAATTGAAAAAGGTTCGAAATTAACATATTTCCATCAACTAAGTGATAATATAAATCTGAATTTCTTAGTAATTTTATTTTATTTTAAATTTTATGTCCCAGAATGAAAAAAGTTTTTATAAATATTTTAATTTACAAGTATTTTCATTGGCATTACAATAAACCCAAATACATCAACACACATACATCCATAACGTATAGCACACATCAGTATGCTGAAATGAACCTTAATTTACACATTCAACAATCGACCAAATGAATTTCTTTATAGAACTTTAATTTAAATTCAGTTTTTGTTTGCCTCAATTTGTGTCTTAAGAGAAATGTATGTCTGAATGTTGTCTTGTGCGATTTTAAAGGTTAAAGAGAAAAATGAACCCAGGATTTGGCATCTGACCAATGATGATTTAAAATACATGTGCAATTGCTATTAAATTTGTTCATGTGTGTATATGTGTAAATAACAATACCCGACAGTTCTAAAGGTTTTACCAAATTAAAGAATTTTAATATAAAATGCTTAGTTAGTACCAAGACCCAAAAGGTTAAGGATACATAGTATAAGAAATTTGCTAAACGAAACATGCTGTAAGATTTTTGTATGTAAAATATACTGGTCGTTATAGTATTGAGTGAGTACGTTTACGTCTGTTTCATTTGATAAATTATTGGCTGTGATTGAATTTTGCCAATTTTTCTTTTTATCCACAGTTTTGTAGCAACGTCATTTTCTTTATATTTAGTTTACAAGCACGTGATTTGCCAAAATCGATTTAAAGACGAAAGGAAAGGGGTAAAACCAAAGTGGAATGTACAAGAAATCCATTCATTTAATTTTTTTTTGTGTGTGTTTTTTTTTCCTGTTCTACCTCCTTGCTATAAAGAATGATTATTGTTCTTTTCCACTCCTTTTATTGTGAAACGATATCCTGGTCTTTTAGTAACAGTTTGGTGTGGTTTAAATGTTGATTTGCCAGTTTGAACTTTTTCTCTATGATTTAAGATTGAATTTGAATTATTGGTTTGATGACCACAACTTAGTTGGCAATATTTTCACACGTTTTAGTTGAGTTGGATAATAAATGACTTTGGCTAAGTGTAGTTGGCTTCTGCATTTCCTTTATTTTTTGCATTATACTAAATTATTTAAAACTATTTGTGCAATAAAGTGCATACAGAACCTATTAGTAGTGAAGTGTTGTTTTCTTTAATAATGACTATTTTACTGAGATTAATGCAATTTCCTGCTCAATTTTCGTTCATAATAAATGGGAATATTTTTAGGCTTGCAAAATATAATATGACCAGTTTTTGCAATATTATTACGATTAAAACTGTTATAACATACCTAATATTAGTGATAGCTAAATTTAAAAATGATTTAGTACTCTTAAATATCTGGTTATGTAATGTCTGCTGAGTTATCTTAATACTTTAGAATGTTTTTTATTGATTTGTAATTTATTTTTTTCAGCTTTGCAGTAAATAAAAACAATTAGCTTTTGTGCACGTTTTTAAGTAATTCCATTTATCCCTTTTATACATATACACTTAAAATAAATAATTTTACATTTACTTTTACACAAACTTTATACATACATATTTAACACATTTAACACTCTCCTAGCCTTTGGCCCATTCACCGAGCGAATCAGTTGCCTTTGGTCAAATAGATTTAAGCACAAGTTATTGAGTCTTCACAACAAACACACAAATCTACACCAACAACACCCACAGTAAAACACGCTAAAATCGGTTGAACAACAAGCTCACAACACGGTAAATCATTTAAAAAAAATTAAAACCAAATTATTTACAAATTTTACCTTTTTTCATATTTTTTGCTATATTTATTGAATATTAAAAAAAAAAAAACTTTTATTTTTTATTGTTTGGTCTAAATATAAATTTCACAGTCATGGCCATTTTGTTCGTATGTCAGGCATAATATTTAATCTGCCAGTCCATCAATGTATTTGCTGCTGTTTTTTTATTCTTAAGCTCACTCCTATTAATGCCGTCGTGTTTGTTCTATTTAAATGCAGGATTTTTTTATAAAAAATATATGTACATACTCACACACATTTCTATAGTTATGCAATGTATGTATTGTATATTTATGTATATGTACATTAATAAGCTTTTATAAGTATTTTTAAAGCCTTTGGCCTTTTCACTTCATCACTTTCTGGCATTCAACACCCACGTATTTTTAATATGTTCACTTATATGCATTAGGGTGGTACTTTAAATATCCTACACCACTTTATTGGGGTGGGTATATTGGGTTTGTGCTAATGTATCTCGCGCATCGAAATATTGGCTCTACACTTTAGAGTATACCAATCAGCTTGGAATCATTTTTCCGACCTTGTAATCAAACTACAGATCGCAATTTTCAAGACAATTTAATGAAATTTGGCATAAACGTTTCTTTTGATTCAAGGACGGTTCATTATTTCACCTAGTCCCCATACAACCGTACCTCACAAGTAAGGCTTAAGTATGTCTTACACCGTTTCAATAAACCTAGACACTTGAATGCTTCTTTCGTTAAGTCCAGCGGACATCGCACTGAATTCTCATGCCCAGAACATCAAGAGTTTCCGATTCCTTAATATTTACACCACCCAAATATTAGATGGAACAACAATATCTGCCAAGCGTGTTAAAAAACAACATTGAGTGTTGCGGGCGTTAACACGACCCCATTCAGAGATTTTTATCAAGTCGTGATTAAGCGATTCATTCATATTTCGCCTTATTGCCCCAACCTTTAGAGGGCATGGCCTATAATTGAATGAATAAGAATGGCAGATATTGCTGTCATCCGCAAAAGAGTAGATAGAGTTGGAAGTTTGACATAGAAGGTCATTTATGAAGATAAGAAATATGGTAGGAGAAAGAACGGAGCCTTGCGGTACCCCTGAATTAATCTTTACTTTCGCCGAAATGGTGAATGGAATGACACCATTTCTCTCAAAGGTAGGTCTCCCGTAGAGCGACCTCTACGAAAGCCATTTTGGCGCTCGTTAAGTAAATTGTTGCTTTCCAAATACTTGACAAGATGGAAATTTACCATAGTATCCACAACTTTAGAAAGTGCTGAACAATTTACTATTGGGCGGTAATTTTCAGGGTTATTAGCCTCTCCCTTTTTAGGAATTGGCGTTACATTAGCAATCTTCCAGCATGCAGGAAATTTGCCGACATGGTATAGAATGCTGAAAAGATTAGGTAATGGATGAGCTAGCTTCTGCTTCTTCTAGCACTGCTTCAAGACCTGTGCCGATATGCCATCTGGTCCAGGAGACTTGCTTATGTTGAGATCTGTTAAAACCCTTTATATTTGGCATAGTTACCTGGATCGGTCCGTAATTGACTATGCCTAAATATTCGAAGTCTAAAACTACATTATAATTTAATGAAATTTAAAAATGCAGTTTTTTTCGCTTATATGTGATCTGAATAGTTGCCCATTGTGCACTTGTAAAACAAATCGAGTTCATTTAAATATTTAAACAATGTATAACGCCAGCCAAGCAGCACTTATTAAGCATTCAACAATAATTAACCACAAATGTTACAAAATATTAATTATTCTAAATGGACTGTGACAAATGAAACAAATTTATACAATTGTAGTAGACTTTTTAATTTGCATTGTCAAGTATGTATGTATTTATGAGCATACATTTACATAGATATTTTAAAAACAATACACCTATCCATGTGTATAGTTGTTAGGATGTCTCAACAACATTTTTATTGCATTTTTATAACTGTATATAACAACGTTTAAAATTCTTTAAAAAATTATACTATTCTTCTAATAAAAGAATGATAATTTCTTAAAAAAATAGATTTTCACTTTAGTTTAGAATATAAGGGACACCCTAATGTTTTCAAATGTATTATTACAAAAGCTATAAATACATTAATTCACAGCGAGCAAACAAGGCAGTGTTTGAAAAACTAAACAACTAATTAAATTTGTAATAATAATTAATATTTATGTACTTATGTCTAGGAATTTATTAAACAAAAATACTTTCATACAAACATTCAAATATTTCACACATAAAATGGGTCGCATATTAAGTCCTTCGGTCGTTTCTACTTATTGACTGTCTGTATGGGAATTAGCAATGAAATTAAAATGCGTGTATACACTCAATTAAATACTTAAATTATTCATTAACCCATTAAATCATAAACATTTAAATAATACAAAAGAGCTGGCGGACATTTCGCACAAATAAACATAAATTAAGAAACAAGTAATAATTCTTTACAATTATTGTTGTATTAAATTTGATTTTATTTATACAACAAACCAACAAACATATTTATGGTTTATTTATGTATCGTATTAATTGAATTCTTTTATTGTGTTGTACAAACATTTGTCAACGTTAATATTCAGTGTTTTTATTCAATTCACTCACTCTCCTGCAGTCGGTGTACAATTTTAATAATTTGTTCTTTTTATTACATTTTATTTTCCTTTTTCCATTTCCTGGCTGACTTTTTTTGCGACATTTCAACAATGATTGCGGCATGTTCGTGTTTTGTTATTGGGTCATGTGCGTTGTTGTTTTACCGCAACTTAAGTGTCATGTGGCTGCTGCCATGGTTGCTGCCTCAACATCATTTGGTTATTCGTCGGTGAATCAATTTGATGGTAATCGTTCGATTATGTGACGGCAGCTTAGCAGTTGCAGCTCTTGCAGTGGGAGTAGCAACTGCGGTAGAAATAGTGTGGTTCACCATCACCACCACCATCACCCGCATCATCATCAAGAACAACTGCAGCAACAACAGCAGCAGCAATTTCAACGCGAACGTTCCTGTACACGATGTCAAAGTTTTCATCGTCACCACCACCGACAAAGGAGAAGATCTTCAGGTGTTCATTACACTGCAGCCACCAATGTGATGTCGAACACCACCAAGGCCATAGTGACAGTAACACCACCCATTACAGCCGGTGGTGCATCACGTTTATCTACGGCAACCACAACATCCGTATCGCCAACATCTTTAACCAGTCTATCATTGGCATCTCCCTGCAATTTAAACAATTCCAGCCACTTAAGCGGTGGTGCAACAACACCACTGCATCCTGGTGCCAGTAAACATTGCACATTTGCCTTGACCCCTATCACGATTCCACCACCGCCAAACAAGGTGTCTTTCTTATCAACCGCAAAATTCCATACGAATTCAATCAATTCAAGTAGTGCAACAATTGCAACCACTCCAACACTACCACAACCACCACCCAACAATATTGCTGCCACCGCAGCAGCAATTTCTTCAATTATTACGCCTTCCACACCGCCGACACCTGCAATTGTTGATGAAGATGATACTGCCATGGTCGGTTTAATGAATTCGCACAATCATCCGAAATTGCAAATGCGACCAAGTGTTACAAGTCAAATTACTACAGTGGAAGATGTTGATGAAATTTGTAAACTTCCCCTGGACGATGAATGCGTCGATGCTGTCATTCATCATCAACATCGCTACTCCAGTCCATCGTCCAATTCCTCGTTATCGTTATCTTCGTCCGCTGTTATGACACGTGATAACATTGTTCCTTAAGGTTAGTTAATTAAATGTTTTTATTATATTTGCTATTAAGTTTTATTTATTTTCGTTTTTTTATAAGTTTCTTCCAAAACTAAGTAGTCTTCCAAAGAACATAATTAAATGAAATTAAGTTATTAGCATCGTTATTTTGTTATCTCGAAAATTTCCAAAATTTTTAATTTTAAGTTTGTATTTGTTAAATCTTTCTGTGATAAACAATGATATCGTTGCAAATGTCATATTTGTAAGACCTCTTTTGTGAGGTGTTTTATATATTTCATTCCTTCTTTGGACTAGAATCAAACCGAATTATCTCATTCATGACAGAATAAGCTTTCTTTCGTTAAGAATATCGATTGCGAAGTGTATTTAAAAAACAAGGTTGTTATATATCAAATCCTATAGTTCGACACTAGCTCTTTGGTACTCTCTACTAATTACATGTATTTAAGTATTTAAAATTAGAAATTTCAAAAAATACAAATGAAATTGGTTTTAAAAACAATGCCGAATTATCAGATTCATAATCGTATAAGCTTTTTTGTACCGGTGAGAAATTTTGTTATCGTAATTAAATATTAAATACTAAACTTTATTGTTCGATATCATTCATAACAAAATCTGTTATTGATTCTTTTACTCCCACGTTGCTTCACACACATTTTTACTTTTATTAATTTATTTACCAAAGTTTAGTCAGCCTGAACAAATAATTGTTATACACGTGTGGTAGCGGAATTTAATTATCACAGCAACAATAGAAAAAGCTAAGAAAAAAGAGTGTGCTATTGTTATAATTTATTGTATTTAATTATGTAGGTTTGTTTTTTTACATAATTAGTTATATTTATATTGTTAAATCTTGTAATAATCTGGTACCTGCTATTTATCACAACAACAAAAGAAACCAAAAAAACAATTAGAACAGAAAATAAAACATAATCACACTTTAATGTGAATTAATACATATTAATCATTAAAATGCATAAAATATATAAAAAAAAACAACCAACAATCAAACACACATTATTCACTCTTACAAAAAAGTTCAAATTTAAACAGATTGTAAAATGTTCCTTTAATTATTTTTTTATATTTAAATAAAATAACTAAATAATAAATACTCTATAAATAAATGTATATTGAAAATCACTAACATACACACAGCTAAACCTCATATGCATGTGTGTTAATATGCATATGTATGTATTTGTATTAAATAACTATCATAAGGATTAAGTAACAGTATAAGTAGATTGTAATAAATAGAGACGTATATGTATGTGTAATTCACATTATATTATGATAAATTTTGTATTATATAATTTACATACATTTACACAATCGTTTATTCTCTCATCTCTCCACATGAATTATTCCGTATACATTGGTTGTGTGTTGGTGTTAGCGTACATGTGTGGAGAAAAAGTTTAACTTTGGATCCATAATGAAGTCAAAAGTTACCCATAAGGTTAAAAGTAGAGTGCATATATTCAAAACAAACACAAACACTTGCCAAAAAGGGCAATCTGAAGAGTCCTTTTAAAATACTTATTCCTTATTTTTGTTTAGAACTTCCATAATATTAATTCGTTTTACGAATGTCGTTGGTTTGTCGTGACTTTGTCGAAAGTTAAGTTATAAATTATGATATCAACGCGCAACTAGGTCCTGGCTAGTCAATGAACTACCCAGGAGGCTTGTCCATACATTAGTAAGTAGACTAGTCCCTAAACCAGTTAATGGAGAGGTCAATGGACTAGTCTGTAGACTTATCCCTCTACATATACTAGTACTTAGAATGGTCAATAGACTTGTTAATAGACTAGCCCATAGACTAGTCAGTAGAAGAGTCAATGGACTAATCAATAATTCATAGACTAGTAAGTAAACTTTTTAATATATACTAGTCCATAGAATATTCTATAGACCAGTCAATAGACTACTTCACAGACTTGTTAGTAGTCTTGTCCATAGAGCATATACAATTTAATAGACTAGTCTATATACTAGTCCACATGCTAGTACATAAACTGCTCCACTCAATAGACCATAGACAAGTAAATAGACTTCTCAACAAACATAACAATAGGTAAATCCATTAAAGAGCCCTTCACACTTTACGTACGACAAGTCTAATGAAAAAGTAAAATGAAATTCCATCCGTATGACAAAAAAGAGAATAAAAGTCGTATGATTTATATCTTTCGTGTTTACACGATTGGCATAAAACAATGACAAAGTAAGATGGAAACAGCTGTTTCACTTTTTTGTATGTGTTTACAAAAAATACATCTCTGACCTAATGCGACTTGCTTGTTTTTTTTAATCATTTCAAAAAATGAAGAGAGCCATACGACTATCAAATTTTCCATCCGTATTTTCTCTCAATGTGTGTTGGTTTCATTACATATTGCGTTTAGAAAAATTTTGACAGATCATATTACTTGTGTGAGCGTGTAAAGGGGGCTTAACTGGTCTATATAGTCTTGTCAATAGATTAGTTAATATTAAAAAAACCAAAATGTAATTGAACCTCATTTATTTATTTCCTTGTAATATGATTATCTAATTCGTGTACAAGCTATGATTTTTAACGGATTTTTCAACTTGCCCTCGTAAACAATAATTTGATTACAAACATATATCATTATATTGCATTATAGTAAATGTTACATAATAATACATGCACACACTCAAACACATTTTATATTAATAATTTATATCTAAATATAAGTCCTAGTCATACATACCAAAAAAAAAAATAATAATAATAATGATAATAAAACACATGAATGTCTGTATGTGAATGAAAGTGAATGAATGAGTGGGTGGCTGAGGATGAGTGAGATTGAGAATATGTATAAATCACATACATATGTACATATGTATGTATATTCGTAACGTACAAATGTAAGTGTAATAAATAAATACAAAAACACATACATACATAAAGAAATATTATAAAAAAATATAACTTGTATTATACTAAAATAGCTAAATAAATTATATTTTTAGTTTTCATATACATACATATAAACAAAAGAAAAAAAAAACAACAATAACAATATTTCATGCATTCAGTTTTAATTTCGTTACACATTTATTTGATTAATTACAAACAAACAGTAATATGTTTATTCTAAGTCAGTGTATGTATGTATAAATGTGCAATAATAATAACAATAAAATTAATAATAATTTAATTAATAATAATACAATTATCTAACAGTAATATTTTAGTATACGCGCTCCTGTAAAATAGAAAAAAAATCATAAATATTATTTATTTTCTTAAATAAGCTAAAAATACTTTATAATTATTAAATAACTTTTTATTTAAAATTTGTTACTTAAATTTACTTTAATATAAACCAAAGCGATTTTCTAGAGGCTCATTAGAAAACCGCTTTTGTTTGTTTCTTTTAAGACTAATTCAAGCGAAGTGCAAAACAAATTTATTCCGAATAAATAAAACATTTGTCTAGTCTGGTATTTTTGCTTGAATTACTCTTGTAATTAAAAATCAACTTTAAAATTTTTATTTATAAATATTAAAAAAAAACATAAATCAATTATCACTGTAAAAACACCAAAGAATTTCCAACTAAAAGTTACTTTGTACTTTTAAATTTGTATGTTTTCTTTCTGTTAAAAAATTTGAAATTAATTGAATAAATACAAATTTGTCATCTACATTTCAATGTTTAATTTTAAGTGTAAAAAAACAAACATTTAAAACCAACATGTCTGTGTAACAAATTGATTAAATTTACAAAATCAATAAAAGAAACTAAACTAAAATTTATATTTGTAAAAAAACAAACAAAACAATAAAAAAATGAAAGAAACACATCAATTAAAATTTTGACTTTTTAATTAAATTGATGGTCAACTAAACAAAAAGGTAAGTTTAATTAGAAATCAATATTTAATTAAAATCAACTACATAATTAGTACATAAATAAATTTTTTATTTAAAACATCAAATATTAAACAGAATCATAAGAAAACTCATTTAATATCAATATTTACTCTTTAATATTTTCATTCAAATATAAAATTTTATAAAAAAAATATTTTTTACATTTACAGCAAGACTGTCATAATCCAAAATTCGGGTTTTTTTTAACTCTTTCACGTATACGGGACACCGGTGTCCCAAGATTTTTTTAATTTTTTCTCGATTTTGAGCGTAATTTTGATTCACAGCTAGAGTAAATGCTCATTTCCAAAGAAAAATAAGTTATTTTTTAGATATCCATCGAAAACACTTTTTCCATTGTATGGTGAAGTCATATCCATAAAAAGTCCTGCGGTTTAGTTTTGTGCGTGAAAGGGTTAAGAAAATATGTAACATATTAAAGTCTTTCATAGAGTTTTGTCTATTTTTTTTGTAAACATCAAAACTAAACTTTTTAACTCCATATTTGTAAGCACTTATTCATGTAGTTATAAGTATGATGAGTTAGAATGCGAATGAATAAGTAGTGAAAAGCGTTTTTTTTTAGCTTTTTAACTCGTTACTTTCCAATGTACTTTATATGTTTTTTTGATTTATGCCATTCTTGAAGTAAATGAGTGGATATTTATTTACATTATCATTCCATCAGTTGCTTATTACACACTAATTAATTTAATTTAAAAAAATCAATTCGTATTCATATGTATTTATGTTTAATTTAAAAATCCGAAAAAATAACACAACAACATTCCATTAAAAATAACAAATAAAATTAAAAAAAGCTATAAGAACGGTAAAGCTAACAAAATCGTCTTATTTTCGGCCTAACTATGTATACGTAATGTAACTTTTTTAAGCATTTATAGTCAACTTCGATTTTCTTGTACAATACCAGGAATATTTAAACATTTAAAAAAATGACCATATACTTTCAGGTCGCAATGAGAGTTATAAACCGAATTCTAAAACTATAATATACTTTCGTATTTCAAGAACTGTATACTATAAATTAACATAATTTGAAAAATCTATCACATCATTCGCTCAGGATCCATATAATATAAACGACATACATACAGTTTTAAGTTTATTTTTAATTTAAATGGATTTTTTAATTATAGTAAATGGTATAAATACATTTATGATATTAGTTTTTTTAACTTAAATTTAGGATATAAGTATAGGCTTGTTATGATTGATTTTTTAGTATTTCCTTATAGGAAATTTTAATTTTTTCAATGTGTGTTCTTGGGTGAATTAGACCAGAGCTACAGTTTCTACAGGTATCCTGGAAATAAAGATAAAATATAGAAAATTATAATAATTAGGTAATTATTGACATTTTTTAAGATAATCTGTAAGAAATGAAACAATTAAGAGTTTTATATTTGGCTGTGCCGAAACGTACATATATAGCTTTCATCATGATGTGTTACAAATTACAATCAGAACAAATTTTATTACAAAAAATAAAAAATACCAGTTGTAAAATGAAAAAGCACCAGGAAGTTCCCTTTTATAGGTTCTCACTTACTCCGGGCTCTACATGCATAATTCATACTTCTAAGTTCGATATTATAGAAAATACAAAAAATACCTTTCGAAGAAGAAAGAATGACAAAAAGTTCCATTTTAAATATTCTCATTTACTCCGGTCTCTACATGCTTAATTTTATGTTTCTGGTTTCAATATTATAGAAATTCAAAAAGTACTTTTGAAAGATCGAAAAAGTACCAAAAAGTCTCATTTTATATGTTCTCACATATAAAGTGCTCTACATGCATAATTTCAAATTTCTAGGTTCAATATTATAAAAAATTAAAAAAAGTACCTTTTAAAGAACGAAAAAGTACCAAAAAGTCCCCTTTTATGGGTTCTTACTTAATTCGGGCTCTACTTACTTAATTTCATGTTTTTAGGTTCAGTTTTATAGAAAAATCAAAAAGTACCTTTTGAAAAACTAAAAAGTACCAAAAAGTACCCCTTGATAGGTTCTCCTTTAATCCCGGCCCTACATGCTTAATTTCATGTTTCGAGCCAATAACATAAAGTGTTGATCTCTCTTTGCTTTGTTTTTATAAACAAACAATTACAATAACAAAATTTACCGTATGATTGTGTGTTTTTGCTGCTTGTTTATTATTTCCGTTGTCTTGGATTTTTGCTCATATCTCCGATATTTATGGACCGATTTTGCTGATTTTAAATAGCGTTCCTCTCGAAAGCATGTCTGACAGAATTATTGAAGATTCGGATCTCGCAGATATCTGGGGTCTTCTAAAAATTGATATCAACAGACGCTATCTATAAGGATCCAGAATATATATACTTTATAGAATCGGAAAAGTATATTATAGAAATTACAAACGGAATGACAAACTTGTATATACCCTTCTCACGAAGGTGAAGAAAGTTTAGATAGATATTTTATTTTTAGATATTTAATTTTCAGAAATCATGGAATTCTGAAAATTTCCATATGTAAACATTCTCGCGAATTAATTTATGATTTTAAATCAATTACACTTCTATATAACAATTGACAGGTAACAATACTCTTCTTAATAATGATTTATGGTAATGGTTGAAAACTGTTTATTTTTAATTTAATAAACAGATTCGTGTTTAATTTAAACAAAATACAATAAAATCAAATAATCCTTTTCTCCCTCTTTTATGTTAAAGCGAAATTTCTGCGTTATGTTTAGAGTAAAAAATCGTTAATTCGGATGCCCTTGAGCTAAAAAGTACAAGATATTTTTACATCTAGTTTATCTCAAGAATATATCAGTTAATGAACCAACATCTAGTTAAATACATATGTATGTACTTGTATGTATATTAGGGAGGCTCCGTTTATGTGGAGAAAAATATAAGCTTGTTCATTTTAAGATAACATCTCTCAAAATGTCTGTCTTGGGTTCAGAAATAATAAATTTAAACAAAACGCTTCAGTTTTTGCTTTTCCTAAATTCAACCAACATCAAATTTTAGGGCATAATACTGAGAACAACAACAGCGCCTTTCAAACCCCTTTCATATAATACAAAATTTGCTTATATTTTCTTAAAAAGAAATATGGAAAATATTATACAAATCTAAAGAAAGGGCCTCTTTATCATTTAATCCAGCTAAACAAATGCCAGGACAAACATTTTGAGAAATGGTATCTTAGAATGAACTAAATTATAATTTTCGGTGGAAACTTAAATCTTGATGCCACCTTAATATACATATGTTTATTTACACAAAATATATAACATACAACAATTTCAACTGCCACCACAATTAGATGAAATGATGAACAGTAGAATATGTATACAGTTACCGACGACCAGCACTTGTATTTTATTCGGTACTTATGTAAATGAAATATTCCTAAATTTAAAATATTGTCATCGTTAAATTTAAACACTACACAATAAATGTTAACAATCGAGGTAAAACCCAGGCAACTAAGTAGAATATTAAGCACATTCACTCATTTCTATTTATAAAAGTTACGTTTAAAAGCATTGTTGAAGACCACCACCGCCACCAACTTTGTCCACAAACAATAAATAGTGGCCACTAGTTGGTAGTTTTATCAAGTGCAGCATTTGATAATGGCGCCATCAGTATTTAAATGAAATAATACAAAATTAAAACATAAAAACTAAAAAAATACAAATAAAAAATAATGAAATCGAAAAAAACTACAAAATATTATCCAAAATGAAAGTTTGTCGTTTCGTAAAAACTGCGTGGCGCGTTAATGCTCGCAATTGCAATATTAGTTGTGTTTTCCCCCATTTTATTTTGAAACTTTTTAGTTTCTAACAAATACATACGTATGTATGTACATAAAAATAATATTGAAACAATTTGAGTAGTGAGTATTTTTGTCCTTTCGCCACATGCACACGCATACACCTACAAATTATACTATATATGTATACGTTGGTAACTATGAAGAGGAAGATGAACTAACAAACGAACAATTTTCGTTGCATTTGAATTTGGTCATGACTTGCATTGTGAATTTCAATAAAACTAAAAACTAGAAAAAACCGTTTTAATGGATTGCTTTAAGCTTTCAACTTTTAAGCGTAAAGTAATTAAAAATAGTTAAGTTTCATTTGTGTAGTTGCTGTTGTTTCTTCTACTTTTTCCTAAAACAAAAAAAAAAAAAGTGACCAGAAAATGGCAGCAAATAAAATAAAAATAAAGTGGAAAATTAATATTGCAATTCATATATAAAAAAAACTATTTACGAAGAATACTGAGTAGAATGGAAAAAAATAAAATAGATTTATTTTTTCTGTTCTATTTTTATTTCAACAACTTATGCCGAAAAGAATAACTTTCTAAAGCGGAAAGAATGAAAGCTTAAATTTTAATAATAATAACAACAGCATTTGTGAATACTTTCCAAATCAATTCATCTAATCTTATGGTACATATCGGTCATTTGCTACAAGACTGGCATAACTAAAAAAATAGTTTCGACTCTTTCTTAAATCACTTTTATATTAAAGAGCAGAAAAATTTGATATGTGTACAAGGGTGGAAAAATCAGTACGATTGTACTTTTTTAGTACTTTTTGACATCGAAAATGTAACAGTACTACCATGACATATCAACTATTACATAATTTGGTCAACAGATTATGCCATAAACCAGACAATGAACTAGTCCTATCCATGGACTAGACAATAGACTATTCTATTGACTATAGAATAGTCTATACACTAGTCAATAGACTGATTAATAGTTAATGGATTAGTCTTTTGACATTTATATAACATTTTTGTGTCGAAATTAGGATTCTTGTGATCGTTAAACGATTTACTGAAGGTGGGATTGTGTGGACGAAATATGATCCGAATTTCACCAAACTTTGGATTATGCGTATAGGTCACATACATGATGTATATTTAAATGTAAGTAAATTGTTAAAAAATAAAATTTTAACAGCTGTCAAAATTTTCATAGATAACTACAATATCAACACAACTTAAATTGAAAAATTTGTAAAATTCGTGACTGAGTTTTGTAAAAAATTATTCATTAATAACAGTTTAGACAACACCATCAAACCCTAATTGAATAGTATTTTTCTTAAACTTTAATACATGTCGACAACGACGGCCACTTAACCTTGACATCTATTTGTAACAAATTACAGTTGGCCACATCATACTAAAGTAAATACGAACACACATACATACAATATATTTAAAACAATTTGTATGTATTTATGTATCTTTTAAATCATGGTCAATGATGCCCCCATTAGATTTTGCCAGACCTTAAATGTCCGACCAAATGTCTACTGGCCATAAAAATAGCACAAGTATAAGAACATAAACTAGAGATGATTTTTACTATTATATAGACTTTTTGACCTAATGAATAATTCATGCAAAAAATAAAGACAATCTGCAATATACTTACTAGCTTTAGCTGGTAACGCTTAGAAGGTATGAAGGCAGCACATACTTACAAACATACTTAAGTAAATTCCTAAATACTTGTTAATACACATGAGTATTTGTGGCTCAAATGATTTGTTTAAAAAAAAAGTAAATGATACAGTTGATGCATGCAATAGCAACAGCAGACACATACAGAAAATGATAAATAATGAAGACATATAACACAGAATCAAAAGGAATTTAAGCTTAAAAATTTGTAAATAAATTGTGGCAGAAAAATTCAAGGCCAAAAATATTTACAAAGTTTTTCTGCTTTACTTGTCAATCAATAAAATCAAAATAAATGTATTGCAGAAAAAAGAGCAAAGTAAGAAAAATTGAGATACCGACTGTTATTAAAGATTTACAAATGAAGCACAGACAGACAGACATAATTAAGAAAATATATCATTTACATGAAAGCTTGTTTAAATAAATTTTATTAATTTTTAATAATCGAAGAATATTATTTTTTCTTCTGTTTCGTGTAAAAGTAAATTAAATGCTTCAATAACTAATTAAAAATAGAAATCCTTCTATTTTTCTTACTGTCTGTCGCCTTTGTAATTTTTTCTACAACTTTAATCGAACATTGGTTTTGCATATCATTTAGTTTAGATAGGTTGAAATCAAATATATTTAAGAATTCCGATAGAAGATTTGCTACGTGTAAATGAATCAAAAAAAAGTCGGAGACGCCGAATTACATCATCCAAATTTTAACAAAATTGAATGTTTCGAAATCAAAACTTAAGTAAAATGTAGCAAATATGTTTCTTCTGAAATTTAGAGAGACCTTACCGAAAAGAAATACACCTAGGCCGCTGTCG